TGCATGCATGCATGCATGCATGCATCTGTACAGACAACAACTTGTGCTGTATTGTCTCTCCTGCATTAACAAACAAACTCACCCAGCAATACCAGCAGCAGCAGCAGCAGCAGCAGCTGCTGCTGCTGCTGCTGCTGTTGTTGCTGCTGCTGCTGCTGCTGTTGCTGGCGGCTGACAGAGACTTGCTGTTTGTCTCTGTCTCCTTTTGTCTCCTTTTGTCTCTTTTATTTTATTTTATTTTATTTTATTTTACTTTTCTTTTACTTCATTATTTCCTCTTCCCGCATCTCCTCGCCAAACCTCTGCTGCTGCTGCTGCTGCTGCTGCTGCTGCTGCTGCTGCTGCTGCAGTTCAGCAGCAGCAGCTGCTGCTGCTGCGGCATCCTCCACAGCAGCAGCAGCAGCTGCTGCACCCCCTGCTGCAGCAGCAGGGTAGTTTCCCAGTGTACTCTCTGATGAGCACTCGACATAAACAAAGCCATCATCTTCAGCTGCTGCTGCTGCTGCTGCTGCTGCTGCTGTTGTTGCTGCAGCAGCAGCAGCAGCAGCAGCAGCAAATCAACTTCTTGAATTTTCTGTTTAGTATTCAATATAAACAAAGACCATCAACGATATGATCTTTATATACAATCTGCATCATCAGCAGAACCTGCATCTGCTGCAGCATTTGCTGCTGCTGCTGCTGCTGTTTTTGCTGCTGCAGCAGCTGCAGCAGCAGCAGCAGCAGCAGCAGCAGCAGCAAGGCTCATCGCCCTATATTATTTTCCAAAGAAATCCATCATCGGTGAGATGCTGTATATACACCTCTTTTATAAACGGCAGTATCTGCTGCNCAGCAGCAACTAGCCTGAAGTACTTTCAGCTGACTATACAACATTAACAAATCCATCGTCCCCCACATGCTGCTCATATACCTCCTGTATACCCGGCAGTATCTGCTGCTGCTGCTGCTGCTCCTTGTGCTGCTGCTGCTGCTGCTGCTGCAGCAGCAGCAGCAGCAGCAGCAACATAACCCAAACTATCTTCAGCAGAGTATATATATATCTCAACATAAAGAAAGCCATCATCAGCAGCACCATGCTGTCCATACACCCCGCAGTATCTGCATCCTCTCCTTCTCCTGCTGCAGCAGCAGCAGCAGCAGCTGCTGCTGCTGCAGCAGCAGCAGCAACTCAGCCCAGTGTATTCTCCGCGGAGTATTCAACATAAAGAAAGCCATCATCAGCAACATGCTGCTCATACACTTCTTGTATAAGGGCCCCCGCCTTGGGGGCTGTATTCTCTACAAATAAATATATAGTTTTCTCGTGGGTGAGGGGGGCCCCCTGCGCCGAAGCACATTGGTTTATATGTTTGTGTATTATATATTTAAACTCTCCCACGAGCATGTTCATCGGCACCAGAAACCTGAATATATATATATACACACTTGTTTTGTTTTTGTTTTGTTTTGTTTATTTATTTATTTATTTATTTTTTTTTTTTTTTTTTTT